GCCACCACCGTGAACCTGTACCTCAAGGGCAGCGTGTACCAGATTGAATCGACACACCTTCGCGCGCATCGCCTCCACTTTGTTGAAGAGGCAGACCAACAGCAACAGCAGCAGCAACGGCAACAGCAACGACAACAGCAACAGCAGCAGCAACGACAACAGCTACAGCAACAGCTACAGCAACAGCAACAGCAGGGTCATCCTTCAACAAGCCCAAACACCATTGATCGTGGCGCAACAACAGTCGATCTGCCCCCCTTATCGTCAGCTGGTGACCACAACAGCAGCAGCAGCAGCAGCGTCGCACAGGCGCAGCACGATGCCCCCTCTGCCCATACGAGAACATCAGCCACTACTTCACCCGTCGTCGTGCCAGCCCGACAGCAGCGCGCGGTGATGGCCAACGCTGCCGCTTTGAGAAGCGCATCTGCTTGTCAAATCTCGGCAATCTTGTGCGACGTCGACACGACTGAAGCACTGTGCAACGTGGCAGTGTGCAACCTCGTGTCTCTGGAGGCCCCCTTTGATGAGCACACTCTAGCTGCGCTGGTGTCCCTGCTGGAACAGCGGACGGGTGTGCTGAATCTGCCGCCTCTGGCTAGCCTCACTGTGAGAACGGCGGCCACATGCGTGCACAGCCTGTGCCATGTGTCAAGCCTCTTCCTGTACCTCAGCCAGTGCGAGCAGCTCAAGGGGCTGCACAGCATCGACAGCGTGCACGTGATGCAATCTCCGCGCCTCCAGCGCATTGCAGACTTCAAGCGGGTCCGCACACTGATCCTCCACGACTGCCCGCAGCCGCCGATCGCCACCCACGCGCTCACCGGCGTTGCCAGCACCCTCGCCCAGCTGCGCGAAGCACACGTGCACGCAGACGGCGGCGGGAGCACGGTGTCGATGATCTTCCGCTCGCCCGTCAACGACAACACGTTGCAGGGGTTGTGCCACGCCCATCACGTGCAGCTTCTCGATTGCTCCTTCGTCACTCGGCTCACCTCACTGACGTGGGTGACCAGCCTTCACGTTGAGGACTTGAAGCAGGATGCCGTGATTCCAAAGTTCCACGCTGCAACACAGCTGGTGTTCCGCAACTGCCCACACCTCAAGAGGCTTGAGGCTGGACCACGCCTGCAGCGGCTTCACGTCGCCAACTGCCCGCAGTTTGAAGGCCTGCCCACCATGTGCGTTGGTGTTTCCGTGGTGCTGAACAACACCGCCGTGACAGACTTCAGGCCCATTGCCGGCGTGCCTGAGTTGAGCTTGTCCAACATGGCTCACCTTGGTGGCACGACAACCCTGGAGGCGCGTGGTTTTACTGCAAAATGGCCCGTCAAGGGCATCACGGAGCTCCGGTCCAGCCTGCGTAAGCTCACACTGCGCAACCTGCCTGGCGCCAGTTGGCTGGAGACCATGCCCCACGTGGAGGTGTTTGTTGCCAAGGATTACGAGGCAACGGGCCCGGCGTACATGCCGCAGGCAGTGCGTGTGGAGCTGGAGGCCCCTGCAGCCATGCTCGAGCCCCTGTCCCACAGCGTGTGGACGCCAAGCCATCTACATGTGCACAACACGGACTCCTCGTGCATGAAGCTACTCGGCAGCCAAGCCGCCTTGCTGTTTGGCGGCGCTTTCGGCGGTGTGTGGGATGTGTCGTCCCGCCTTGGCATCAACTTGGAGACGCTGACGATGATCAACCTCCATGTGGTTCTCGGCGACGTGAAGGGTGTGCGGGACCTCAACCTCAGCAACTGCCTCGTCAACACGCGAACCAAGGAGGGCCAAGTGCCGGTGCTGAGCGAGTTGCCGCAGCAGCCGCAGCAGCAGCAGCACGATAGCCAAGATGCTGGCGGACAGCACACGGCAAGGAGCCGAGAAGCAGCGGGTTAGGCTGCGCCCTGGGCGAGCCAACCGGCACCGTTCAAAATGCAGGACACAGACGGAGTCAGGGAGTTGAAAGCGAGAGTGGATGAGAGGGTGAAAGTGAAAGTGAAAGTGAAAGTGAAAGTGGCGTGCTGTGGTGTGTTGCTTTCTTGCCTGTGTTGTTGTTCTTTGTATGAGGCGTGTGCGTTCAAGCCATGTTCTCTTCACTTGCTTGTCAGTCAAAGAAGTCAAAAGAGTAAAGGCCTGTTCTTGGGCACAGGGCACAGGGCACAGGAGGTAGATGGAAGGAACAAAGGAACAAAGCTGCTGAATTGGCTGAGTAGGAATCCTTGCAATCAGAAGAGAGCAAGCATGTTTGCACTTTTGCAGCAGGTTGAAGGGTTGAGGCGTGTTAGGTTTTTTTTTTTTTTGGGGGGGGGGGGGGAGGAGGAGGTTGTTTGCTTTTGTTTAACGGTCCTTCGGCCGTGCGCGGTGTTGTTCCACTGGCACTGGGCAGTTTTTTTTCTGGAGGAAGAAGCAAAGAAACAAGCAAAGCAGCAAGAAGCAAGAAGCAAAAGCAAGCTAGAGATGCAGTGGCGGTGTGTTGCGATTGCTGTGCTGATGGCACTGGCGGCGACGGTGCTGGTGACGGCAGTTGCCACCACGGCGGCGCCTGTCACTGCGAAGCTGGTGCTACACACACAAATGGCCACTGGGCCCGGGAGCGATTGCGTGGCCAAGGCGTGCTCACAAACGTGCATCCCAAGCACGGTGCAAGAATGGGGCAACTGCTGCAACCACACCGACACCTGTCGGTTTGATGTGGTGTTCCAGGACTATCGCTGCATTCCAGCCGGCCTCATTTGCTCTTGAGCATGTCGTGTGCGTGTGCATGTATGTGTGTGTGTGTGCATGTGTGTGTGTGTGTGTGTGCATGTGTGTGTGTGTGTGTGCTGTGTGCGTGACCCTCCCCCCTCCCCCCACCCCTCTCTGTCTGTCTCTGTCTCTCTGTCTGTCTCTCTGTCTGTCTCTCCCCCCCCCCGCTCTCTCTGCCTCGTCACCCCTCTGCCGTCAATGCTCCTTCTTTTGTGTGCTTCTTGCTGCCACATTCAATTCCTCCACCCCTCCCCCATATCTCTTTTCCGTCGCCCGTGCTCTGTTGCTGGTTACGTTACATATCCTCCCGCCTGACACTGCTGCTGCGTCATGCTGTTGCCTGTTACTGCACCAAGTTGTCTCTAATGAGTACACAAGGCAATATGCATTCGTTTCTTCCTTCGCCCAGCGCACGTCACATCACGTCAGGCCAGTCAGTGCGTTTAGTGTGGTGGTCGTCGGGGGGGGGGGGGATGTGGAAGCAAACAAAGAGGCGAGAAAGAGGGGGGAGCGGATGAAGCAGATAATCGGGAAGGGATGAGGGAAGATAACAAGAAGGGGAAAGGCGCCAAGTAAGCAAGCAGGCAGGCAGCGTAACGTTGGCCTGCGAGGGGCGCGGGGAAGAACTGCAGGTGAGCACGCGCAGAGCGCGCATGTCACATTTCAACGTGTGGTAAAGCAAGGAGGGGCAACAGGAGGAGTGCTGTGAGCGGTGCACACGCACGCGTGTAACGTGTCATTCCGACATCACCAACGCGTCACAGCCACGGTGGGCGAGAGTTGCCTTCAATAGACGTTTGTGGCGTTGTGACGGAGATGAGCGTCATCGAGGTGGTGCATGATCTTGCCCACATCCGATCCGCTGACAACAAAGTTGTACTGCAGGTATGGGCTTTCAGACACAAAGTTGAACTGCGTCTTGGTTTGCTTGGGGTCTTCCACAAACGTCATGTTCGTGGCGCGCCTGCACACGTGTGTGTGTGTGTGTGTGAGTGAGTGAGTGAGTGTGTGTGTGTGTGTGTGAGTGAGTGAGTGAGTGTGTGTGTGTGTGTGTGTGTGTGTGAGAGAGAGAGAGAGAGAGAGAGAGAGAGAGTGTGTGTGTGTGTGTGTGTGTGTGCGAGGTGAGAGGGTGAATGTGGTGAATGCAACACACGTGCAGCAAGGCGCCATCAGGCATGAAGTGCAAGAAGGAACAGCCAACCAGTTGAAGCCGTTCACATAGAGGATGGTGAGCTTAAGAGGCGACATCTGGTGCAGCATCCAGATGGCCTGCGTTGTTGAATTTGATTGATTCAAGCACACACAACTCAAACTAAGCACAACGCTGATGGCTGGGAGGCAAGGGATGCAAACACGCACACACACACATGCACAGTCTGCCCTACTGTCCGTCTCACGCTCGCTGTGTCTCTCCCAGCGTCTTTCCCACCATCTGTGTCTCTCCCAGCGTCTTTCCCACACACACACACACACACACACACACACACACACACACACACACACACACACACACACACACACACACACACACACACACACACACACACACACACACACTGCTTACAGAATCTGGGTGGCCGCAGTTGCGAGGGAAATCGGCATCTTGGCACACCTACGCGCACGCAAGTGTGGTCAACAGTGGTGAGGACGAACACAGAGAACTCTGGAATGCAAGGCAAGTAACAAACATGACACAAGGCATGTACGCACCACTGCTTTGCCCTGGTTGTCACAGTCAAGGCCGTGGGGGTCAAAGTGGTACTTGTAGATGGGCGGGTTGAAACCAGGCCCCGTCGTCAACGCACTGCATGATCCACGCACAAACGCAAGCAAACAAGCAAGTGAGTGGTCACACACGAAACGACTGCGTGCGTGAGCATCAGCAGCTGAACTGGTACGTCGAGGGAGAGAGACAGAGAACACACACACAGATACACACTCACACATACACACGCATAGATACACACTCACACACAGGCACACACACACACACAGACACATAGATACACACGCATAGATACACACTCATACACAGGCACACAGACACACAGACACAGACACACACACACACAGACACAAACGCAAGAGCTGCGACCACAACAACAACGTACGGGTACTTGAGGACGGAGCTGATGTCAAAGGCGGTGCCGTTGCCTGTAGCGCGCAGAGGGTTCTTTGGATCCACCAGTAGCTGCATACCCACGGCCATGTGTCCCACACAGCCCACAAGCAGGAGGGCAGCCAGCACTGCAGTGCACTTCATTTGCATTGTCTTCCTTGTTGCTTGCTTGCTTGCTGTTGGGTTGGTTGGAGGTGCTTTCAAATGCACCGTATGGGCCGGCCTATTCCTAGGTCACCACCACACGCAAGTTTGCCTTTGGCTTCCACAAGCAAAGTCAAAGCTGCCTTTTTGCTGTGAGAGAGAAGGAAGGGAAGCGAGGGGGAAAGCACGTTGTTCGCCTGCAAACACACACCTTCACCCACCAACCAGACCTCTTTCGCTTCCATCGCGTCCACTTCCCCAGCACTCCTTGGATCCTTCTCTTCTCCTGCACCGTTTGATCCTGCCCCCCCCCCCCATTGCCCATCAACCGTAAGCCATGGGGAAGAACAGGAACAAGTTCAAGCACAACAAGCACAACAAGCACAACAAACATCATGGTCCCAAGAGGGATGTGACCGCGATGATTGACGCGGTCAGTGTGCCAGTGAGCTACCTCCTGGCTGCCCCGCTGGTTGTGCGTGGGTGCTGTGCGTGGGTGCTGTGGTGTGTGGTGTGTGATGTGTGCTGTGGTGGGTGCTGTGGTGGGTACGATCTGCATTTCAAGTGCCACCGTTCTGCTCAACATGCTTGTCGTTGCCCGGTTGCATCCATCTCTCTCTCTGTCTCTCTCTGTCTCTCTCTCTGTGTGTGTGTGTGTGTCTCTCTCTCTCTGTCCTCTCTCTCTCTCTCTCCCCCCACTTGTAGAACATTCGCGCACACGATAACGTGTGGAACAAGCGCATCCAGTTTGAGCCTGCACAGGATCTCAAAGCAGCAACCGGCGGCCTCACCGGAACCCTGTCAGTGAAACGTCCAGGTATGTCGACCCATGGAACGGAACATTTGTGTGTGTGTGTGTGTGTGTGTGTGTGTGTGTGTGTGTGTGTGTGTGTGTGTGTGTGTGTGTGTGTGTGTGTGTGTGTGTGTACGCGTGAATATGTGGATGCCGCCTGGGTTTTTTCCTGTCTCCATCATGGCTTTGCTTGCATGTCTCCATCATGGCTCATGACTTATGATGGACGTGTGCAATGCCATCCCGGTTGTTCGTACCTGCAGAGAACGGATCGGCAGGTGCTTCCCACGTGCACCTTCGTGACAAAGATGGCTTTGTCGAGGCAAAGCGCCAGCTCTTCAACCAGGTCAGCATTGCTTGTGCTAGCGCATCACAAGGAGACGTGACAATATTCACACACACACGCAAGCGTCACTATATGTGTGTCGATGTGTGTGAGTGTATGCATGTCATAAGTGTACATGTGTGTGTGTGTTTGTGAGCCTGTGCATGCCACATGTGTGTATGTGTGGTTGCGTCTTGACTGTGCTGGCCATGGCGCCTGCTCACTGTAACTCTTCGCTGAATCGACAGAACACCCTCCGCGTGACATGGAAGAAGCCGCGGCCCATGGGCGCCGGTCTTGGCAACCTCGGCAACACGTGCTTCCTCAATGCCACGCTCCAGGTGCACCCATACCCCGGCTTTGTTGTGCACTGCAACGCTCGCCGTCGCACTTGGCATGTCTGCACTTGGTCTCCTTGCACAACCTGCTCTGCCCCGAAACTCACGTCGACACGCAACGCTCTGTTCTCTCACATCAGTGTCTCGCGTACACCCCAGCTCTGGCCAACTTCTGCCTGTGTAAGCACACCTTGCTTGCCATGTCCTTTGCTTTGTCGATCTTTGCTCGAGTATTCATGGTCAACGAGTCACCACTGCCGCTCCACTGCCGCAGCGTTGGCTTTTTTCTTCTCTCTTGCATCTCACCTTGTTCGTTCACGTTGTGGCAACACACATACTCATCCCCCGTTTTCCATCATGCACACACACACACACACACACACACACACACACACACACACACACACACACACACACACACACACACACACGCACACACATTCACACACACACACCGTCTCTCACTGTCTCACATGCGTACAAACGTATACACACACGTGTTTCATTCTTGTGTGTTGCAGCTGGGCAGTACCAGCGCACACACACGCCGCAGCCCGGGTTTGATGCGATGAAGCTTGTTGAGCTGCACGTGCACCGCTCCCTCACTAGCCCAAAGCGCACCGTGCTCCCAAAGGGAATCATCAACCACCTCAGACGTACGCTGCAGAAGCGCGTGTGCGTGTGCATGCATGCGTGCGTGCATGTGTGCGTGCGCATGCGTTCGTGCGTGTGAGTGTGTGTAATTGCGCATGCACGAATGCAAGCCGAGACAGCTGTTGCACGAGATCACAAATGCGTGCACACATGCCTCTCTACTTTCATCACATGCGTGCGTGGTTGCAGAGATCAACAAGGCGTTCCGGCATTACCAGCAGCAGGATGCACACGAGTTCTTCATCTGCCTCCTCGACGCCATGCAGACGGCCCTGCTCGGCGACTACAAGAAGTGAGCGTGATGGATGGTGTGTGCATGTGTGTGTGTGCGTGTGTGTGTGTGTGTGTGTGTGTGTGTGTGTGTGTGTGTGTGTGTGTGTGTGTGTGTGTGTGTGTGTGTGTGGGAGACAGGGCGAGGCATGCGCAGCTCCTGCAATTGGGGGAATAGGCGCTTGCGTTTGATGCCCTGGCGAACTTTGGCTCATCATTTCCTTGTGAACACCAACACGTCATCACCATTATCACCGCCGCCCTGTCCAACACCCCCCCCCCCGCTTCGCATCTCAGCCTTGACCTGCGTGTGCAAGAAACAACTGTCCTCCACCACATCTTTGGCGGTGAGTGCACACAACGCGCACGAGCGACTCAAGTCCTGGTGGTGGTGGTGCTGCTGATGATGGTGGTCATCGTGAACATGATGTGCGTGCGTGGCGTGTGTGTGTGTGTGCGTGTGTGCGTGCGTGGCATGTGTGTGTGTGTGTGCGTGCGTGGCATGTGTGTGAGTGTGAGTGTACATGCACGTGTGACTGGGCGAACACCTGACATTACATTTGACGCGACATCTGCGCCTGATGCGTACGTGTGCACGTGTGTGCGTGTTGTGACCAGGGTACCTCCGCTCTCAGATCCAGTGTGTGCGGTGCAAGCACTGCTCAAACACCTTTGAATCGTTTTTCGATCTCAGCATCGACATCAAGGCCGCAAACTCGGTACACACCTTTGCATGTGCATGTGCATGTGCATGTGCATGTGCGTGTGTGTGTGTCTGTGTGTGTGTCTATGTGTGCGTATGTGCGTGATTGTACATGTGCATGTGTGAATGTGTGAATGTGTGTACATGTGTATGTGTGTTAATGTTTGCATATGACTCGGGCGTTGCTGTGTTCAAATGGTGCTGACGGTTGTTACCCCTGTTCTTTCTGCAGTTGACGCGAGCGCTGCAGCAGTTTGTGACCAAAGAGCTGCTCTTCAAAACAAACTCCTACAGCTGCAGCGGGTAAATTCGCAGCTGTTTGCAGTTGGTCTGTGTTTGTGTGTGCGCGCGCGCGTGTGTGTGCGCGCGCGTGTGTGTGTGTGTGCGCGTGTGTGTGTTTGCATTCGCACATGAGGATCTTTTGTGCACGCAAGTCCAATGTGCTGCAGCTGTATCCAACCTTGCTGTGTGATCCTCCTGACTGACACCACCCCCACTCTCACCCTCTCCCTCGACACTGTGTGTGTGCGTGTGTGTGTGAACTGTCTGCCATACTCTGTCGTCCACTCTGTGGTGTGTGCATGCTAGGTGCAAGAACAAAGTGCCAGCGACCAAGCAGCTGACCATCCACCGCCTGCCAAACGTCCTCTGTATCCAACTCAAGCGCTTCAGCTTCATGAGGTTGCAGGAACGATGATGATGGCGATGGTGGTTGTTCGAGGGGCTCCTGCGGTGACGGTAGTTGAAGCGTCTGTGATTGTTGACGTGGAGTTGTGGTGGTGATGGCCAAGTGTACGATTGTCCGAAGAATGAATGGGACCAATGGACGAGAATGCAATGCAGCTGTGTTTGCATGTTTGCTTACATGCCCGTGTTCGTGTACAATCCTGCGTGCCTTTTCCTGTGTTGTGCTGCAGCCACTTTGGGTCGAAGCTGCGACACAAGGTTTCGTATCCGATGCAACTGAACGTCCACGAGTTCCTCTCCCGCTCCATTGTGAGTCGCTGCACCTGCTTGCGCTGGCGTCTGCACTTGTGCATACGTGTGCGAGTGTGAGTGCGATTGTGTGTGCGTCTGCACTTGTGCATACGTGTGCGAGTGTGAGTGCGATTGTGTGTGCGTCTGCACTTGTGCATACGTGTGCGAGTGTGAGTGCGATTGTGTGTGCGTCTGCACTTGTGCATACGTGTGCGAGTGTGAGTGCGATTGTGTGTGTGTGTGAGTGCGACTGTGTGTGTGTGTGCGAGTGTGAGTGCGAGTGTGAGTGCGACTGTGTGTGTGTGTGCGAGTGTGAGTGCGAGTGTGAGTGCGAATGTGTGTGTGTGAGTGCGAGTGTGTGTGTGTGTGTGTGTGTGTGTGTGTGTGTGCCAGTTTGTCTGACCTGTGCCAGCACTCTTTATTTCCTCGTTGTTGCACCCAACACACCACACCACGCACGCACAACGCACCGCTCACGCACCTACCACCACCTACCACCCCCATCACCCACGAAAATTCCTTCTGTATTCTTTGCTGGCACTGCCTCAGCGGTCCCGCATCTCGCGTGGGGCGTGCCGGTACGAGCTGTACGGTGTGCTGGTGCACCTGGGGGCCACGCTCTCCTCGGGACACTACATCGCCTACGTGCGCGCTGCAAACGGCATGTGGTACTGTGCTGACGACGACGACGTGAGTAGATTGGCGTGACGCAATGCTGCGAGCATGAGGGGGTGGAGTGGGGTGGAGCGGAGGGTAAGGGTAAGGGTTAGGATGTGTGTGGGTGTGTATGCATGTACAGTGTTGTGCGCGCGCGCTTGTGTGTGTGTGTTGTATATGCTCGTGCGGTCGTGCAAGTGCGTTTTGCATTTGTGCGTGCGTGTGCACTGCATATCCTTGAACGGATACACGTTGCCCTCTGGCCTTGATTCCATTCTCTCCGTTCTCATCATCTCTCACGCCCATTCCCAACAAATCACAACCTGTTTGCGATGCCACTGGTTTGCAGGTCCGCTTTTCAAAGGAGAACGAGGTGCTCAATCAGGCTGCGTATATGCTGTTTTACACGCGCACAGACAACAAGCCGCCACCTACCGCCTACTGCCCACAGCCGAAGGTGTGCATGGACGTGTGCGCGCATGTACATGTGTGTGTGTGTTTGTGTGTATGTGTGTGCAAATGTGTGCATGTGTGAACATGTGCATGTGTGCGTGAATGTGTGGAGGTTGAAAGCAGCACGTGTGTATGTGTGCGCGCGTTTGAGTACTTTGCGTTTTGTTTGTTTTGCGTGTTTTTGTGTGCTTATGTGTGTTGTGTGTGTTTGTTGTGTGCTTGTGTGCTTGTTGTGTTCTGTGCGCTGACTGCCGTTTGCCCTGGCCACCACCAGGCTGAGGTGCCCGCCAAAGCAGCGGCGAAGCAGAAGGCGTCACCCGCAGACACAAACCAGCAGCAGCAGCAGCAGCAGCAGATAACGAAGCAGGGTCAAGCGGATGCAAGCAAGGACAAGCCAGCACAGGCGGCTGCCATGCAAGGTGTGGAACAGCAACAGCAACAACAGCAACAGAAGAAGAAGAAAGCGGAGAAGCCAGCGGCTGGCAGTGCGAGTTCGCTCATGGACGGCGTCGCGGCAGCTGTTGCTTCCTCAGGTGGGTGCAATTGGCGTCTTGTGTATTGTGGTTGAGCTGCACATAACAAGCTGTAGCAGGGGCTAGAAGAAGTGATTACCCACGCACACACACACACACACACACACACACACACACACACACACACACGCACACACACACATACAAGCACACAAGCACACAAGCATATACACACACACACAAGCACACACATGTTCACATGCACCCGTGCACGCATTTACGCACATGCGTCACGATTGGTTATTTTTTGGTCGTTCACACTTCCCCTGCTGTGCACAGACTCTGAGTCAGAAGAGGATGGATCATCATCATCATCGTCGTCAGAGGAGGAAGACGTCGGGGAGGAGTTACCGTTTGCACCACCACAGCGTGCTGTTCCCAACGGCGGCATTGCTCGCAGCGACAGCACCAGCAGCACCAGCAGCAGCGAGGGCTTCATGGACCGCAACCGTGAGTTTGAATTGCTTGATGGTTTGCGTTTTTCTGTTGTTCCTGTGATGCGGCCGCGGGTGTGCCTTTGGTTTTTGGTTTTGTTTTTGAGGCGATGCCATCACATACAAGTGCACTGCTGCAGTGCTGAGGCCTTGACTGACCTGTCCACGCTGCTCACCTTCACACTCTTGTCTCCCCATCCGCTATAACACCTCCCCCACCTCTGTTACACCACCACCACCACCACCACCTCCTCCTCCTCCTCCTCCTCCTCCTTTTTCTTCTTCCTCACATCACCTCGTGCGTCGGCATTGTCTTTTCTCGTCTACAGCGACGTATGACCCTGTGATCACGACGACAGACGAGCGGTGCATGTGGACGGTGCAGCTCAACCCTCCCCGCCCCTGGCGACCCGCATACCGCCGCGAGCGATGGGTATGAACGGACGGATGGATGGATGGATGGATGGAGAGTGGTGGTGGTGGTGGTGGTGGTGGTGGTGGTGGCGGTGGCGGTGGCGGTGGTGAATATGTGTGGCGGAGGCGAAAATAGTTAAGGGTTGTGACGGTGCTGCGTGATGGCCACCAGTTGTGCCTGGTGGCGCTGGCTGGGGTGGGTATAGAACGCTTGTGCGTGCTCATTGTATGTGAGAGCCCTATGTATGCCTCACCTCATCCTGCCGTGCCGTGCCACCCGCGTGTTGACTGTGCCCAGGATCGCTACGCTACCATCAGCGGGTGGCGCGTAACGAACGACGACGACGACGTCGACGACGAAGGCAGAGGTGGCGACGACAATGACGGGGAGCTGCCGTCGAAGCGAGCCAAGGCGATGGTTGAGCTGCAGCAGCTGCAAGCGCAGGGAGGAAGCCTGGACAGCGAGGACGACAGCGATGACGAGGAGTTTGTGCCCTCACGGCGCTCGCGCATGGCGACGGGTGCTGATGATGATGATGATGATGATGATGAGGATGCCATTGGTGCAGTGAGCATGGAGGAGCTTGAGTCGCTGTTTAAGGAGCAGGCCGACCACGCCCGGCAAGAGCGCGAACACGCAGGGGTGGCGGAAGACGGAGAGGGAAAAACGAAAGTTGAGAAGAAGCAGGCGAAGCAAGCAGTTGTAGCACCAGTCGCGACAGCAGCAACAGCAGCGTCGAGCGATAATGATGATGGGGGTGAGGGGGATGTGTCGCTGCCGATTGGTTCAGGCGATATCGAGGATCACCATCGCGCCGTGCTGGACAACACAGTCATCGACATTCTGCAGCGCGTCTCAAAAGGTGACGCCATGCTCTGTGTGTGTGTGTGTGTGTGTGTGGCATAGTGTGGTGTGTCATGTGGCGATGGGCATTGATCCATCAACAATCTAAAGCACGTGCTGAACTGTTGACACGTGCATGCACGTCAATGCTCACCATGCATCGATTTATTCATTTTGGCTGCAGATGTGCGAGCGCGTGTGCTGGCGTGCGTGAATGCTGAACTGTACCATCACCTGACACAAGCCACCGCTGCGGTTCTTGAGGTGTGCAGAGGCGGACCTGTGCACCACATTCGTTTTGTGTGTGCGTGTGCGTGTGCGTGTGCGTGTGCGTGTGCTTGGTTGCTTCCATGTGCATTCACTAACCCCTTGTATGCGCCTGCGTTGCGCATCGAATACTCTTTGTGGTCCTCACGCCCTCATCCAACGTGCACCACACGCACCCATCTTGTCTGCCCGGATGTGTTCCGTAGGCGCTGAGCGAGGATGAACGCGCTGCGCTCACCAGCAGCAACGGTGGTGATGACGACGATGATGATGACGAGTTTTTGCTTGAGCTGGAGGAGCTGCCTGTGCAGCTTCATCGCAGCATTGCCGCCGCCGTCTCCAACAACGTCTACAAGGTACCGTGCAACCGCAGTGGCGGTGGCGGTGGTGGTGGTGTTGTTGTTGTTGTTTAAGTTGTTGTTGTTTAAGTTGTTGTTGTTGTTGTTTAAGTTGTTGTTTAAGTTGTTGTTACAGTTGTTGCTGTGCTTCGATGCACGTGGGCATGTGCTGCTGCCAATGTTAGTATCGCTGCACCATTTCTCATTGGCGATGCGTGCATGTGTGCATCTTGTCATACCTTGTCTGTGCTTCGCGATGTCGTTGTTGGTCGGGCAGATGCTTGAGGAGCTCTACGGCAGTGATGGTGCTGAGGAGGATGATGATGAGAAGCAAGGTGCCGGCAGCAGTGATGAAGAGGAGGAAGGAGACGGTGACGGCGCATCGTCCAGCGGCGAGGAGGGTGATGTGGCGGCACCAGATGGCGGCCATGCACCCGGCCCGATGCAGATGAACGGCGCTGCTGCTCACCGCTCCTACGCAGCTGACAGCGACAGCGAGGACGATGACGCCGCCAACATCTCTTTTGAGGACGATGACGAGGAAGAGGACGAGATGCACCGTGGCGAGGGCGCCAGCGACAGTGACAGTAACAGTGACAGTGACAGTGACAGTGAGGGGTCTGATGCCGACGAGGCTGGCGCAACCACGGCAGCGCAGCAGGATGTGGACGTGGTGGCGTGGAATGTGGACCGTGGCACAACAGAACAAATTGTCAAGGTCAGGGAGCGCGCGCGTGTGTGTGTGTGTGTGTGTGTACATGTGTGTGAATGTGCATGTGTGTGTGTGCGTGTGTGCACCGGGGACATATTTTTGGTTGTTTGTTTCAGAGGTTCAACTGGTGTATTGCTGACTTGCACGCTGTTTGTTCGCTCGGCCTCATGTGTGTGTGTGTGTGTGTGCGTAAACGTTGTGTGTTGAATCAGAGCAAGAAGAAGGCATTGTGGGACGGCAAACGCCGTACAGCTGTTGATCCAAAACAGGCGGACGCCAGTGAAGCAGGTGTGTTTGTGTGTGTGTTTGTGTTTGTGTGTGTGTGTGTGTTTGTTGGGTGTTTGTGTGCCGACACGACTACTGCGCTCGACGGTATTGTTGGTTGCTGATCCTTACTCCCTTTGCCTTGCGTGGTCGTGTCACCAGTTACGACGTGGGATGACACACATAGTAGTGCACTTGCACCGCTTCCAAAGCCACACAAGAGCAAAGAGGAGCGTGATCGCGAGGCCTTTGATGAGGTGCGACTGCATGTATGCATGCGTTATGTGTGTTTGTGTGTTTGCGCTTCATGTGTGTGTGTTTGTGTGCGTTTGCGCTTTATGTGTTTGCGCTTTATGTGTGTGTGTGTGTGTGTTTGTGTGCGTTTGTGCTGTGTGTGTGTGTGTTTGTGCGTGTTTGCGCTTTATGTGTGTGTGTGTGTGTGTGTGTGTGTGTGTGGATTGCACATTGTGTATTTGTACGGGTGCGGTTTTGTGCACGTATGCGTTATTTCTTGAGCGAATGCCGCATTCATGGTTGTCGTGCATTGATGCCCCCTTGCACTTCCATCTTAAGGAAATGGACCGTGGCCGCGTGAAGAAGGTGCGGGGCCCGAAACAGGCGCCAACGGACCTGAAGAGCAAGTTCAACGCCATGGTGGTTGCACAGAAGGAGGGCAAGGCGGTCGTGCCGGACAAGAAGCGACAGAAGAAGCGGCACATCAAGCAGATGAAGAAGAGGAACCACAACAGACGACTCGCCAGTGGCAGCCACGCCAGAACGCCTCAACATGAAAACTGAATTAAGTCGTATCGTGGATTAAACTGAATTCAGTCTACACAACCAACCCCCAAGCAAGCAAGCCAAGAAGAAAAAAAAATTCTTTGGCTGTTTCTCTCCCCACAACAAACGAAGAAGGAAGATAAGTGAAGTGGCAAAGTGCCACCACGACGACGACCGTCACAGCAATCATCAGCAGCAGCGACTCGGTGTGAGCGAGAGGGGACAGCAGAGCGGAGTGGGCGAGCAAGGAGGAGAAGGAGGAGGAGGAGGAGGAGGCGATCATCATCACGCAGGACAAAAGGAAAGGTCTTGCTTGGCAGCGAAGGCGGAAATGATCCTAACCAACGGCACGACCCGGTTGCAGCCGGGCGACCGTGTCATGTTCGACAGGAAGTATCCCGCTATCGTCCGGTGCGTTGCTGTTGTCGTTGTTGTTGTCGTTGTTGTTGTTGTTGTTGGTGGTGGTGGTGGTGGTGTATGTGCATGTGAATGTGAATGTGCGTGTCGCTTGTAGACGCCACGGCGACTCGAGTACATGTGTGTGTGTGTGTGTGTTGGAACGCTCATGTTGTTGTGTGATTGTATGTGATCATGCCCTGAAGGTACTTTGGCAAGGTCGGCTCCTCGCCAAAGGTTTGGGTTGGCGTTGAGCTGCAGGATCAGGTTGGCAAGAACGATGGTTGCGCTGGCGGGAAGAGGTATTTCAAGTGCAAGCCCGGCTACGGCATCTTTGCCCTTCCAAGTCGCTTCACAAAACGACCCGAGGTGTGTGTGTGTGTGTGTGTGTGTGCTCGTGTGTGTGTGTGTGCTCGTGTGTGTGTGCTCGTGTGTGTGTGCTCGTGTGTGTGTGCTCGTGTGTGTGTGCGTTCGTGTGTGTGCTCGTGTGTGTGTGCTCGTGTGCGTGTGCTCGTGTGTGTGTGTGCGTTCGTGTGCGTGCTCGTGTGTGTGTGTGCTCGTGTGCGTGTGCTCGTGTGTGCGCGCGTTCGTGTGTGTGCGTGTGTGTTTGTTTGTGTGCATGTGCGTGTGCGCGTGTGTGAGTGAGTGAGTGAGTGCGCTGCGGCTCTTGTGTGAACTGGGACTTTGTGTGACAATCACGCCCTCTTCTGCCGTTCGCCTCGATTCTCTGCCGCGTGTATGCTCACGCTTCCATGCGTAAATCACCATTATGCAGTTGGAGATTGGGTGCAAGGTGGTTGTGAAAAAGCAGTACGTCGGGACAGTTCGCTTCATCGGAGAAACAGAGTACTCAACTGGCGAATGGGTTGGCGTAGAACTGAAAGATCCAGGTGAGGCTCAACCGCGGTCACTGCCTCAAACTGCACGGCTGAATGCCACATACGCGGCTGCATGCAAACACCTTGGTTGGCTACAGCCATCATCAGATGCAACAACACATGCCATATTCATCCTCCCGTCAACTCTTTTGATTGTCTTGCTTGAAATGACCCTTGACGATTTGTGTGAATGGTGGCATGCATGCAGTTGGCAAGCATGACGGGATGTTCAGAGGCAAGCGCTACTTCACGTGCGCCAAGGGTCACGGCATCTTTGCTCGACCAACACAGGTCGTGCGCGCCCTCAGCGACACCCACAGCACAGGTTCGTGGTGTGTGTGTGTGTGTGTGTGTGCGCGCGCGCAGCGTGTGTGTTTGCAGTGCGCGTGCGTGTCTGTGTACAGTGTGCTTGCGTTATGTATGTGCTTGTTTGGCCGTGCACTTGCTACGACTCACACATACTCTGACCACCCCCCCCCTTCTCCCACTGCACGACATTCTCGGGGTGCAGATGGAAGAAGAACACAACGGTAAGGCACCTGTGCTGTGCCTTGAAGTAGTGTCTGTTTGCCTGTGCAACACTAGTGCTGCTTCAGAGAACCCAACAACACACATTCATCACGCAACCAGCTTGCTCGTTGTCCTCCTGTCATGCTTTGCGCTGCCATTCACTGCCACATCCCCTGATGCATTCCCATCCTTCTCACCTTCACGCACTTACACATTCAACCACGCTCTGTTTCTTCACATCATCCCATCACACACACACACACACACACACACACACTCACACACACATACGCGCATACACACACACACGCATACACACACATACGCGCACATACCAGGCGGTCGAGGTCGTCCCCGGATGCGGCTGCGCAGTCGCAGGACCTCAAGGACGCACTCGCAGAGCTGGTGCGCATGCATGTGCCCCCGTGTGTGTTCATGTGCGTGACATGCATGCGTTCTGACTGTCCGTGTACATGTGTGTGCACGTGTATGTGTGCATGTGTGCATGTGTACATGTGTGTGTGTGTGTGCTGATGAAGTGCGACGCCCCGACCTGCTGACGTCTCCACTGTCGATTTTCTTATGAACAGGACAAGTTGCGAGAGGAAAACTCTGGCTTGAAACGACAGGTGGGCTTGCACATGCAATGGACAGGGCATCAACACACGACACAGGACAAATGCACTGCACTTGTGCCTCACAAGCACACGCACACACATAGACACACACACGCTCACACACACACACACTCACTCACACACACACAAACACACACACACACGCTCACACAAACACACACACAACACACACACACACACGTTGCGTCCAGGTTGAGGATCTGCGGAAGCTTGTGGTGACGGCAGAGCAGCTGAGCCTGAGCGAGCACGTGCAGGACATTTTGCCCGGAAACATGGCGGATCCTACGGAGGAGGAGATTGAGCGGCGGTCCTCCTTCTCCTCGGG